CCCCCCCCCCCACCTCCCCAACAGGCCACCAGCACCACCCTCCACTACATCCACATCGAGCAGCTGGACAAGGTGAGCTTTGGGGAGGGGGTGGCAGAGAGTTTGGGGAAGATGGGGGGGCCCTGCTTGGATTGGACCCCCCCTCAACCATGTCTTGTTTTAATTTTATTCTAATTTTTGATTTTTTTACCCCGATTTTCCTTGCTCCTCCTCCAAAAAAAAGATCTCGGAGAGCCCCTCGGAGATCATGGAGTCCCTCACCAAGATGTACAGCATCCCCAAAGACAAGCAGGTGAGGGCACGGGGGGGGGTTTTGGGGGGCACCTGCCGTGACAAAAGCCACGGTGACCCCTCCCTCTCTTCAAATCTTCTCTGATTTCCCCCCAAATCCTTCTGCCCCCCCCCCAACAGATGCTCCTCTTCACCCACATCCGCTTGGCCCACGGCTTCTCCAACCACAAGAAGAGACTCCAAGCCGTGCAAGCCCGGCTCCACGCCATCTCCATTTTGGGTATGTGTTGTTGGGGGTTTAATTAAGGGGTATTTTAATTAATTAAGATGATGGTGGGGGTTTTGGGGTGTTTTATTGAGTGACACCCCCTTTCTTTTTATTTTTTGGGGGGCAGTTTACTCCAACGCCTTGCAAGAGTCAGCCAACAGCATCCTCTACAATGGCCTCATCGAAGAGTTGGTTGACGTTCTCCAAATCACCGACAAACAGCTGATGGTGAGGAACACCCCCAAAATGTCCCCTTTTCCCCCCAATCCCACCTTCTCTTTAACCCTTCCCCTTCCTGCAGGACATCAAGGCTGCTTCCCTCCGCACCTTGACTTCCATCGTCCACCTGGAGCGAACCCCCAAACTCAGCAGCATCATCGATTGCACCGGAACCGCTTCCTACCACGGTTTTTTACCCGTTTTAGTCCGAAATTGCATCCAAGCCATGATCGGTGGGTGGAAGAAAACCTCAAGAAGAGGAGAAGGTTGGGATTTGAGGGGTATTTTCCTTCTCCTCCACCTCCTAACGCCTTCTTGTGTCCCCCCCAAGACCCTTCCATGGAGCCCTATCCCCACCAGTTCGCCACCGCCCTCTTCTCCTTCCTCTACCACTTGGCCAGTTATGACGCCGGCGGCGAAGCCTTGGTCTCCTGCGGGATGATGGAAGCTCTGCTGAAGGTGAAACCACCTCCAAAAAACCACATTAATTTTAGTTTAAAGACAATTTAAGGATTCTTTAACTTCATTTTTGCTTTTTAATTTGTTTTCTTTCTCAAAAGGTGATCAAGTTCTTGGGTGACGAGCAGGACCAGATCACCTTCGTCACCCGGGCGGTGCGGGTGGTGGACCTCATCACCAACCTGGACATGGCGGCCTTCCAGTCCCACAGCGGCCTCTCCATCTTCATCTACCGCCTCGAGGTAGCGGCCCGTTGCTTTTTTGAGGGGTGCTGGGGGTCCTTTTTGGGGTGCTTAGGGCTTTTTTTGTGTGTTGGGCTTTTTTAGGGTGTTGAGGGACCCGTTTCTGGGTTCTTGAGGGCCCTTTTCTGTGTATTGAGGGCCTTTTTTGGGGTGCTAGAGGCCTTTTTGTGGGCCTGAGGGTCTTTTTGATGTGCTGGGGGTCTTCTTGGGGTGTTTGGAGTCCTTTTTGGGGTGCTGGGGGTGTTTTTGGGGTGCTGAGGGACCCATTTCTGGGTTCTTGAGCGCTTTTTTTTGTGTATTGAGGCTCTTTTTTTTTGGGGTTCTTGAAGACCCTTTTTTGTGTATTGAGGGCCCTTTTTGGGGTGCTGGGGGGCTTTCTGGGGTGTTTGGAGTCGTTTTTGGGGTGCTGAGGGTCTTTTTGGGGTGCTGAGGGACTCATTTCCCGGTTCTTGAGGGCCTTTTTTTGTGTATTGAGGCCCTTTTTTGGGGGGTTCTTGAAAACCCTTTTTTGGGGCCATTGAGGGCATTTTTTGGGGTGTTAGGGGTCTTTTTGGTGGGTCTGAGGGTCTTTTTTGGGGTGCTTGAGGCCCCTTTTTGGGGGTGTTGGGGGGTCCTTTTGGGGATCCTTGAGGGAGACCATTTTTGAGGGGCTTGAGAGGCCATGTTTTGGGGCACTTAATGGCCATTGTGGGCTCCTGAGGGCCATTTTTGGGTACCTCAATCCATTTTTGGGGTGCCTCAGCCCATTTTTGGGGCGCTGAGGGCCATGTTGGGGTGCCTCAATCCATTTTTGAGGTGCTGAGGACCATGTTGGGGTACCTCAAGCCATATTTGGGTTCCTTAGGGCCATGTTGGGGTGCCTCAACCCATTTTTGGGACGCTGAGGACCATTTTGGGTTCCTGAGGGCCATGTTGGGGTACCTCAACCCATTTTTGGGGTGCCTCAACCCATTTTTGGAGCGCTGAGGGCCATGTTGGAGTACGTCAACCCATTTTTTGGGTTCCTGAGGGTCATTGTGGGGTACCTCAACCCATTTTTGGGGCACCGAGGGCCTTTTTGGGGTACCATGTTGGGGTGCTGAGCCTTCTCTCCCTCCCTGACCCCGCAGCACGAGGTGGACCTGTGCCGCCGGGAGTGTCCCTTTGTCATCAAGCCCAAGGTGCAACGTCCCCCGGCGGCCGCCGCCGCCATCGTCCCCGAGGGAGAGGAGATGGAGACGGACATGGAGGGTGAGGAGCCGGAGGGTGGCGAGGAGGGGGGGTTGTCCTCCCCCTTCAACGTCACCCGTCACCCCCTCCTTGTCACCGTCACCCCTTCAGTGACCGACGTGGCCATGGAGAGCAGCCCAGGTCCTTCCACCGAAACCCGGCCGGATCCAGCGCCGTCGGCCAACGCCGCCATCCCCACCACCAGCGCTGCCGCCATCACCTCCTCCTCCCCACGCGGCGGTAGGTGTCCCCCACCACCCCCGTGTCCCTTCTTTCTCCATTTTGGGGGTGCCTCACACCCTTGTGTGTCCCCCCCCCTCTCTTTTTAACACCTCAGGAGTCCAGTGCATCCCCCAACGCGCCGCTTTGCTCAAATCCATGCTGAATTTCCTCAAAAAAGCCATCCAAGATCCCGCTTTCTCTGACGGCATCCGCCATGGTGGGTGTCCCAATGCCTCCCCCACCCCTTGGGGGGACAGGAGAGTTGGGGCAACACCCCGACACCCCCTCAACTCTTTTTCTTTTCTTTTTTTTAATGCTTTTTCCTTCAAAAACCCAAGTGATGGACGGCTCGCTCCCCACCTCCTTGAAGCACATCATCAGCAACGCCGAATATTACGGCCCTTCCCTCTTCCTCCTGGGTGAGCTCCGCTTAAAAAAAACCCCACAAAACCAACAAAATGAACCCCGCTGGATGGGTTTTTTTGGGGGAGAAGGGGGTTTTTCTCTCCTCTTTTTTTCCCCCCTCGTCCTCAGTCCTTCTTCCTCCTGCCGCAGCGACCGAGGTGGTGACGGTCTTCGTGTTCCAGGAGCCTTCGCTGCTCTCCTCCCTGCAGGACAACGGCCTCACCGACGTCATGCTCCACGCTCTCCTCATCAAAGACGTGAGGGTTTTTTCCTCACCCAAAACCACCCTTTTTCTTACTCTTACTCACGTCCATCCCATAATACGTATTTTTTTTTTTTAATTAATAACCAAGGTACCCGCCACCCGGGAGGTTTTGGGTTCCTTACCCAACGTTTTCAGCGCCCTTTGCCTCAACGCCCGGGGCCTGCAGTCCTTCGTCCAGTGCCACCCTTTCGAGCGCCTCTTCAAAGTCCTCCTTTCTCCCGATT